AAATTATAAGTACATAATTCATTGGGATAAAATGGTTTTAATGGGATAGATATGGAATTACCTATTTCCTCAAGAAAATAGCAAAGAGGTTCTGATTAAGTCCATAATATAGTATATATGAAATTCTGGCAAAACGGATGGGGTATATTTTCCTTTCTGAAACTACTTTGATAAGAAATGCATTACAAGCTCATCAGTTTGGCTTCCTGTTAACAAAGAGACAGCGGCCGTCTGGATCATTCTGGATTCACAGTGAATCTGCCACACCAGGTATCCTCCAAGGAAAGGTGTGCAAGTGTGACAAGGGGCAGATGAATCCAGGAGTTATTGTGCAGAGGTTTAAATCTATGCGGCAGCTGACGGTTGAAATCATCATCTATATATCGCTCTGAGCTAGCTGGGGAAAGGTTGAAGCTGTATATTTTCAACATATCGAGTCTAATGGTTAATCTGTTGTCTTGTACAGGGTTCTTGCAGGGTGGACTTGCAGCACACACTGACAGCTTTGAGGAATTGCTCATGGTGGATGTGGCTCGCCTTGATTCCAAAATACTGGGGAAATGAATCTAACTTCGTTTGAGATGGAAAAGGGGAAACGCGACTAGCTCATATTCTCACAACCAAGAGAGCCAGGGGAACTGATAACCAGTTGGGTGACGGGGAAATTAAAGCCATTAAACTACCTTCACCCCTCCTGACCGCTCCGACTCAGTGCCCTTCTAGTGGGTTCCATATGTATTTTTGTTGTTTGGTGGTGTTGGCAGGCTGGAAAGAGCATTGTCCCTCTGGACAATAGAAAAGCTAGGAAGCTGTGAGCAGGTGAGGCAGAGCAGGAGTTGGTAAATATGTCTCTGTTGTGGGCCAGATAGTAAATAGCTGTGACTTGGTAGCCGTGGGTCTCATGCAGCCACTCAACTTTGTCATGTGTCGAACAAAAGCAACATTAGGCAATATGTAAACTCAGGACACGTCATGACTGTATTCTGATCAAACTGTATTTATTGCCACTGATATTTGAATTACAGAGAGTTGTAATGTGTTGTGATTTTTTTACCAACCACTAAAAAGCCATTCTTAGCTCATTGTCATGTAAAAGCATGTGTACTACCATAGTTTACTGACCCCTGAATTTGAGACTGAGTCAGAATGGACGTGATGGCAGTGCGTTTGGGTTTTGTTTTTGACCATGAGACAGACAGACAAGGACACAGGAAGCCAACTGGTAGGAGTAGATCTACCTTTCAGTCCCAGAGCAGTTGTAAATGGTTGGCAGTGAGGTAGAGAGAAAGAAAAGAAAAATTGTTAAAGTGATCATTTCTTTCACACTCCTGTATATTTTCCCCAGGTTAATTTTTTTTAAAAGAAAAAATATTTTAATTTTCATGATCTACTACTTTTGCGTTCCCCAAACTCTGTAGCAGTGATTCAGGGAAATTCTTGCAGTTCTCATTTCAGTTATGTATCTACTTTTGTAATTGCATTGTTCATATCTCTATCTTGTTTCTGATACACTAATTCCTACTGATCTTTACTTGATACTTTTCTTTGCCTTTGAGGCAATGGAGACAGTCTGTTTTAAGACCAAAAAAAAAAGAAAGAAAGACAGACAGAAAAGAGCCCAAGACAAAAAGATCTCCAAAAGGAGTTTCTATCACATATTGAGCAGGGCAGAGCACGGGGCAAGTTATTAAGTGAAATCTAGTTTTTAGTGAATGTCTATGAGTTGAAATTCCAGGTACCAGTATTTTCCATGATTGTAGGACTTCTCCCAGGATCTGTACAGAACATGGAGTATGTGGTGTGAGATGGAATGTGTATGCACGATCGGTTCTTTGATATATCCAATTTGAATCCTGTAGAGCATGGCATTCCAGGTGATATGGATTTCTGTTAATATATTTATATAGGATTTTTTCTCTCACACATGTAGTCTTTCATTACTTTGTATTGATGGACTCAAACTTACACAATTCAGGTTTCTTAAGCAGTGAATAGAGCCAGAAATATACCCTGTGATTAACTTCTACATAACCTATTGTTCCTTAAATTCTCCCTCACCACTCTCCCATTAGCTCCACAAAAGCTAGAAATGGAAAAGCTCCAACAAGCCTCCCCTTCCCTGCCCACTCAGACTCCTCCCTACAGCCTCAGTGTGTGGATGCGCGCACACTGGTGCCAGTGAAAGATGGGCTCCTCGAAGAGACTTTTCTATTTTTAATGTACATAATGACAGATTTCTTTTTAGCATTTATCTGTTAGGTTTTCCATATATAAACATACATACATATATATACATGTACACATGAATGTGTGCCTATATGTGTAATTGTCTATATGTGTGAATATATATCCATATATTTCATATTTTTCAGCAAGGGGTTACCAGATTATCTCGCATGATACTGCATTTGATGGAGGGATTATTAAGTTGAAGAGCATTGTATAGATTTGGAGCCCCTGGGTGGTGCAAAGGGGTTTGTTGTTTATCAAAGGTTAGCCACTCAAGAGCACCTTAGAGCAGCGGTTCTCAACCGTCCTAATTCTTCAACCCTTTAACGGAGTTCCTCATGCTGTGGTGACCCCCAATCATAACGTTATTTTCATTGATACTTTATAAATAATTTTGCTACTGTTATGAATCATAATGTAAATATCTGATATGCAGGATGTATTTTCATTGTTACAAATTGAACATAGTTAAACATAATTGAAGCATAGTGATTAATCACAAAACAATATGTAATTATATATTGTGAATTATTTGTTTTCCGACAGTCCTAGGCAACCCCTGTGAAAGGGTCGTTTGACGCCCAAAGGGGTCGCAACCCACAGGTTGAGAACCGCTGCCTTAGAGGTACCTGAGAAGAAAGACCTAGAAATCAAGTTTTGGAAATCAGCCATTGAAAACCTTGTCCAGTACAGTTCTACTTTGACCCACATGGGGTTGCCCAGAACAGAATAGCCTCAAGGGCTACCATTGTTGATAGACAGATAGACAGACAGATAGACAGACAGACAGACAGACAGACAGACAGACAGACAGACAGATAGATAGATAGATAGATAGATAGATAGATAGATAGACTATATGTATATATATGATATTATCATTTGGGGGTGTGCTTTTGAGGAACAGCATCCTTCATCCTTTCATTATCTATGTCCTAGTATTTATTGACCATTATCTTTCAAAATTAGTTTTATATATTTTATCTCATGGTTGTTAGATCTGAAGCTCTCCTCTCAAGTATATCTTTCACTTGGGCTCTCCTGAATGAATCCTGCTGGGATATGCATTGAGCTGGTACCTCCTAGGTCAGCAGTGCAAACCCTAGCCATTCCCCAAAAGAAAAAGGAGGCTGTGTGTGCTCATTAAGACTCGCAGTCTCAGAAACCCACACAGGTGTGGTTCTACTCTGACGTATAGGATCACTCTGAGTCGGAATTGATGCAAGAGCAGTGAGGTGCTATGCTTTGTTGTTTTTTGCTTTTGTTTGTTTGTATGCCAACTGACCCCAGGCACTGAACTTGGCATTGATGTCTATTTCTAGCTACATTTAACTGCTCAATCTTCTGATGAATATATGGCTTTCCCCACTATAGGATACATCTCAAAATACTTACATAGTTGACCCTTAAACAACATAGGTTTGGATTGTGTGGACCAATTTATACATGAGTATCAGCTTACAACACGAAGATTATCATCTTCTCATGGGCAGTTTGGCTATCCGTGGGAGGGTTGCTGGAGAGAGGAATTGTGCACCCAGAGATGATGAGTATCACACGGCATTTTCAGCAGATATTCACAACACCTGAGCCCACCTTAATAGCAGGAAGAAAAATAATCCTCATAGAAGTCGCCCTGTGTAAGTCAAACCTATGAGGCTCAAGGACCAGCTGCAAATTATATGCAGATTTTGAATCTGGAGGTGGTTGCCATGCCAATCTTTGTGTTTTTCAGGGGTCAACTATGTTACCAAAATTTACACAAAGAATAATTTACTTGGTATGATACATAATATTATTGTTATTTTTTGTTTTGTGGGTAAGGAAACAGCCACACCTTCTCATGAGGCCAGCTTGTGTTCCATTCAGCAAGGGTTCTGGTAGTCCATGATTGACAGACCAGGAAACATCCCTCAGTAAGACAGGCCCCACTCTGTGTTCCCACCCAGTGAGCTTGGTCTTGTGGTCACACTGCAAGACCGTGAGAGGTAATGAACCCAGACTTTCTGGTGAACATCCCTTCTGAATATAAGAAGTCAGATCAGTATGGGTGTTTAATCCATTGTGAATTAAATGTTCCCATATACCTGTGTTACTCTGAATTACATGGGGTTGATTTTGATCAAACATAAGAAATAGAAAACGGACTATATAATCTCAATTCCAGCATTTCCCCCTCTCTTCTTCCTTTAAAGAAATATCCATAGGCTCAGAGACAGAAAGCACATTTTCAATGTGATGGATGCTTCAAGGCGATGCTGTGCATCACCCTTTCTTAGAAGATACAAACACTTGGTATTTAATGCAAGTTGGACAGTAGAATCCCAGCCGACGTGACTGACCATGCTATTGGTTGGGTCTGGCAAACAATAGTTTCACATTGAGGGTTGATGGCTTCGAGGAAGAGGATGATTCAGTAGGATTCCGTTGTGTACACTTTAGCAGATAACGGGTTTGATCCAGCTCTAACATGAGTTTTTTGTGTGTGCTTGTGAATATTATGAGAAGAGAACTTCATATTTTTCTGAAGCTTATTGGCCAACTTCTGAATTTCCACAAATAGCATCCTTGTTGATATAGATTTCCATAAAAAGGCAAAAAAGAATGCCAGATGCCATTGGGATAAAGGAAAAGAAGAAACACCTGAGAGAAATTTCTAGTTTAATTTAAATGCAAGGTTCTATTCAATGTTACGATTGCGTTGGGACTTTTATTATGAAAATTGCCACAAGGATTAATTTCTATTTTCTTTTTCCCTTATTGTTTGGCAGTCAAGGTTGAAGCCAGATCACGCTATCCCAAAGACCCATTTGAGTTCAAGATTGCACCTCCCAAGTCTGGGCTTGTGACTGAGTCAGGTGAAGGAGTGCTGGAACAAATTCCCATGTTCAGTCACTACAAAGTCTGGTTGTGCTGGCTGTGCTCGCCTGTACCCCTCCACATTCTACTGTCACGTGCCTCGCTCACCCGAAGAAGAGCGATGCACTACTGTGGCTTTAGCATGGGCTTAGCTTTCTGGGCAGCAGAACACCAAACAGAAAAGCTATAGAGCACACTAAAGAATCATTAGAGCAACTGGACCCCCAGTGAGCAGCTTGCTCAAACCTTCACAGGAAGGCTTGTTAGCTAGATGCTTTTGCTCTCAACCCACTTTGCACGACTCTTACTCTTGAGTGATTGCAGTGTGGATATGCCAGTGCTAATGACCTGTTAAGTGTATACAGATGTGAGCTTCTCCAGATGTGGCGATTAATAATGGAACGGAGATAGCCTGTTAACTCATGTTTATGGGTTGTTAGCCTTTTATGACATTTCTGAATTTATTTGCTTTGAATCTTTTTTTTTTTTAAACTCTAGCCAACAAATACACCTTTCAATGCCAGAGGGCACCATCCTGTAGACTCGGTTGGGGAAATAGGGAAGAGAGAATGTGCCCTAGGCTTGAGCCAAGTGCTGAATCAGATCACATGCTGAAGTAGGGAAACTGAAAGTTGTAATCATTGCCCTATCTTATTCTTAGGGCCTTGTAAAGAGAGCCTAATGAACCCTTACACGGAGTTGGCAAACTTGGTTAAAGCAGAAAAAGAAAGGTTTTTTTTAAAGCATTATCTTTAAAAAAAAAAAAAAGAAAGAAAATATGTGATCATTTTCAAGTAAGCTCAGCATTGTAGCCGGTACTTCTGGAAGATGCTGCCTTCCGTTTGCTGGCAAACAGAATGCCAATGAGAAGCTGAGTAAAATGTTGTTACAGATGTTCGACTCTTGCATTAAGGCTGTTGGAATTACCACCACATCTTAAATCAATTCCCAGAACATTGTGTGGAGGTTATGTCATTGAAATAATGAATCCTCTTTAGTCAAGTATAAGCAAACATGTTAAAACATCATTGTAACTTTAAATTAGACACCAGCGTAAACCAGGGGATCTGAAGCCTCAGTAGACTTGCCTGACATTTTTCTAGCACTGAGTCTTCCCAAACTGTAAAACTGTTAGATGCAGTGCCTATTAGACAGGCGAGCTTTGGGAAGTTACAACAGTGCATTAAGTGTTACACTTAGGGATGTGCAAAAACAAGCCCTTGAATTTTATGAGTACTTAGAGACTGGATAGAGTTCAGCTCCTATAAAAATTCCATGTTGGATTCCTGAACTTGTTTGTGTTTTAAAGAAGCTGGTAAGTAAGTCGGGATTCTGTCAAGGATCATATCTTCATGGGATTTCCACAGCAGGAAGGCAAATGAAAAAGCTAGAGACAGAGGTGTAGTATAATTAGCCAAAGAGCCCGTTAAATGTAGGCCGGTAAATGTGGGTTGTCATGAGGTACTGGCTCATTACTTCAAGACATTTATCTTTCATGAAAGTGAGTAAATTTGAGTCTCCCTTTTAATTCAATTTTTATTCTTCTCATATAGTCACAGAAACCATGAAGTGAAAATCATATTTTATAACTTAACCAAAGTTTTCTTAGATAACTTTATTTAAGTACAGAAGTAGAACCCATATTAAGATAATAATTAACTATGGTTTATATCCTACTTATAAGAAGTGATCACTACTTCTCTTTTGGGATCTGTGCAAGATGTGATGTCTCCATTATACAGCTTTCACAGATTTAAGCTGTAGACATTTTCCCCAGCCCTTCAGGGACCAAATCTGCATTTCTAGGCGGTGAGCACAAGAGGAAACCTTTCTTTGAACACACGTTTCATTTAAGAGAACAAATCTCAGCTTAAATGCAATATGATCATGATGGATGATCTTTCTGAGTGCAATGAAAATAAATAGTTTCCTTGCATTGAAGCAGGCAAAACTTTACCCCCCAAATAAGGGGTTTCCCTGGAGCTGGCTCACGCGTATTGACTTGCAAGGGCTCCAATCTAACGGTTGCTCGACGTAAACATAGATAGTGGTGAACTGCAGGATAATTGGCACTTAACCCAAGAAATTTCAAATGGCGACAGAAAAGTTAGGCAAGGATGTCCAACAGGAATGCCAGTGAGGATGACAGCCGTTCACATTTTTAGTAGTATAGACTGATTATATAGTTGCATAAAACCCTGGTAACATCTGGCGGCCCTGATCAAGCTAGCCACTAGAGTTTAGATAAGACAAAAGGCCTTTGGGGTCTTTTATTCTAACCATAAGAAGGCTTACATGAAAGAAAACGACAGATCTCACAACTTCATCATACAAATGCACGTGCACCCAAAGCACACCACTTATTCCACCACGCTGTCCAACTCCTCTGAATCACCTAATGACGTACACCAGTTACCAGTGTCCACTTTCAGCGGTGACCTTGGAGCTAATGCAAGACTTTTTACCCTGTCCTAAGAGGGAGCAAGCACAAAAGTGTATTCATCTACACCTGCGTGTGTGCACAGCGTGTCCTTTGATAGGAAGATGATTTCAGGGCAAGTTCAGAGTGCTTATTTGCTTGCATATCAACTTAAAGACGCATATTAGCGCAAGGTGTTTTTTCCCTAATATCATTTTTGTGGCTTGTGTTTATCTCCTTTAATCTTTTAAGTGCTGTTTAGTCTCTGTGTGATTTGGTCTGGATACTCATTTTTGATCATCTGTGATGTACTCCGAGCCACTTGCCTGCCTGGCGCACTAAGTGGCTGATACGGGACATCGGACGAGTAGGGTCAGTGGGAAAGTAAATCAAGCGGGGCATCTGCAGGTCTTTGCCTTCATCGCTCCTGGCGTCCCACTCACATCCCACACACGTGCTTTGTCCCTCTCCCTTTGTCAGCAAGGAGTAGCGAAGTCTAGATTGACGGTAGTAAAATAGGGGGATATATTAAGCGTGATACAACTAGTTTAAAGGTTCGTTGGTTTTTTCTTTTTAATAATCTCTTCAAAACTGTTTACCATAGCATAATAAACATATTTAAGGTTTTTCAGGAAAGTGCCAGAGAATGTTCCAATCCATTTCAGACTCATGCCAATCACAGATAACAGACATATACTCAAAAATATGGCTTCAGTTTCAGACGATTGCAATAAAGTGAATATCACAATAAAGTGATTTATAAAGTTACAAACTGTTGTTGTTTTCTAGTGCATATGAACGTTATGTTTACACTATATGTTAGCCTATTAAATGCACAACAGTGTTATAAAAATGTTTGGAAAATGGAATAATGACGAGAAAGGACACAGACATTAAGTAAGCACATGCAGTAGGGAAAATGGCACTGTTAGACTTCCTTCAACCTTCAATTTGTAAAAAACAAGACAAAACAAAATCAGTGTCTGCAACGCACAATAAAGTGGACGGCAATGAAGTGAGGTGTGCCTACATGAAGCTTCTTAGATGTCAGCGCTGCTAATATTTCTCTTCTCAGTTCAAGGTAATTGCTGTGTACTCTGAGTCTCAGGGATACTTGCTCCCAGTCTCTGTTGCAGTCAACTCTAAGAATCCAAGGATCTTGTTTTTCCTTCTTAACCTTACAGCGGTAGCCACACTGGTAGGAAATGGGAGAGGAAGTCTAAGATTTTGCTGCTGATGTCCTGGGGTGACAGACTGAGTTTGCACCGACTAATTATCACGCTCCTCTGTTTTTAAAAAGCATGATGCAAGCGAATACATCCACAAAGTTTATTCGTAGCTATCTTGGCAAAAGCAGTGAAGTGTGCTGTGTTTTTTGTGAGTGAAGCTTCACCTTGCTTAGTTTAAACATTTGAAAATAGCCTTTGCTTTCCAATCCCTTCTGCTGCCTTCCCTGCCTCACCCCACCCTCGCTGCATCATCAAAGATAGTACTCAGTGGCCACCTCCTTCTTCATGTGGGTCCTCTTCCCCAACAGGTCTCTGTAACCAGTGCTAACCCCAGTGCTGCAGTCAGTTTACAAAGGATTCCCGTTGCACAGCCTTTACCTCTTAGGAGGCGGAGAGATAAGAGCTGAGCCGAGTTGGGAATTTGTGGGCCAGCATGTACCTATGTTCTCAGTCCAGAGAGACTGAAACATTGACTCTTAGGCCTCGAGTTCTTGCCCCTCTGGAAGGCTCTCTCTCAGGTACAGCCAGGATTCTGAACAGAGCCAAACACTGGTTCGTTTGTTTGAGCAGCAGGCTGGCCACCATGATGTCACGATTTCAAATATAACTTCTCTGATTGGGTTCTGAGAAAACTTTTGATTACCCAGCAAAGCAACATAGCCAAAACGAACACTGAGAATACAGTAGCGTGTGTCTGTATTTTTATATGCAAAGACATCATGATTTCTTTTGTGCTTGTGGCAGGGATGTTCCCAAACCATTCTGGGCTCTTCAAAGTGCATGTTTGAACAGCTGCAGTCAATGGGGCTGCGCTCCCCTTTCTGAGCTGGCCTCTAACACTTGATATCTGTCAGTGGTCCCCAAAAAGACAGCCATGAATGATGAGTGAGTGAATGAGCCACGAGTGCGTGTGTCCTTTGATATCTTACCTGTGTTTCACAGTCTGCCTTCACACTGTTCATAATCTCATGAGCTGCCTGTATTTCCAGTTGAAGATGAGCAGCCGTCCACGCTGTCACCCAAAAAAAAGCAACGGAATGGAGGCATGCGGAATTCACCCAACACCTCGCCCAAGCTGATGAGGTAAGGAGAGGGGTCCCACGCAGAAGGGCTTCCTCTGTGCAACTTCTCACCCCCCTTTGCCTCCTCCCCGAGCCTGCCCAAGCCCAGCTTCTGCCTCCACTCCCTCTCCAGTTAGAACAAGACAGGGGGAGGGGAGCTAGATCATTAGATGGCTTCTTAAAGGCTGGAGTATTTATTCTGTCAGCTTGTCAGCAGTTAATGATAGAGCTGAAAAAATTCTGTCATGAAAAACAGTTTGAAAAGCTGTTTGAAAAATACATAGGCTTTAAAGTCTTAGCTGTCACCGTGTCCTGTCTGTGTGTAGTCCCTAAACAGCAGTGGCACTAATGACGGCAGGAACCAATCAGAGGGACTCATGTGGTGAGTTTGCCTCTGGCAAGTCTCCTTCTGCTGGAGTCTCTCAGAGGACTGTTTTTTGTACTTAAGGCCATATGTGAGATGTATCATCACAATCAAAAATGAACCTGAAGATTACCTTCCTTTTATCCTGTCGATTGAAATCAAATTTCTGTTAATTGATTTTGACTAATAAAGAAAGTCTAATAATCCATGGACTTGCCAATGCAAAGTTCAAAAGTAATCCAGTTCTGTGCAGGCTAAAAGCAGTATTAATTATGAAATACAGCGTGTTCGCTCTCTCTCTTTTTCTTTCAAGTTGATGGTTCTTCTAGCAAGTGGCAAGTAATACCAAATTTCCTCAGAGCTTTACAGGCCCCTACCCTTGGCCAATCCATCTTCTATCACCCCGTTTTAAAATGTTTTATCTTTTAATCATCTGCCTCCCCCACTTGCCCAACACCACGCACAAGTTACTATTGAGCCCATTCTGACTGTGGTGAGCCCCCACAACACCGAGTGTGTTCTTGCCTGTCACTTTCACAGAAGTAGATCCCAGACTTCTTTTCCCACACTACTGCTGAGTTGCTTCAAACTGCCCACTTAAGGGCAGTCTCGCCCAAACGGTTGACCCAACCCGTTAGTAGTCTTGCCCAAACGGTTGACCCAACCGTGCTTCTTTCTTGTGCTAGCACGACTCTCTAGCAGCCTCAATGAAATAGGAATGATTTTCAGATTTGTAGCCAATGGTGACGACCATGCCCCTGGAGACACCTGCTGTTGTGGCTCTTGTCCTCTTCCCATTGCCATTGGCCATTGCTTCTTGAAATAAAACAACAGGTGCTCTTCTTCTCCGGCTGGTTTTGTAATGGCATTGCAGGACCAGCGCTCCCACTTTTCTGGGATAGGCAGAAGAGGAGCCCTCGGTTCTGTGCTTCCCTGTGAAAGATTCACTCCTTCCCCTATGACCCAGTGTCCTTGTTCAATGTTTCCTTTAAAACCCTCTGTCCTCCCCTTTGCTCAGCCTTGCTGATTTACATGCTTGTTTACCATTTATGAGGAGTGATAAAATGTGCCAACTTCCAGCCTTCTCATTTTTACGATGCCGTGCATGTGTCAATTACCTACTCACCTTACCGAATGCTTATAATTTGATCCACTTAAAGTACAAAAAGAATCTGTTTTGCCTAAATTTAGAGAAGCAAATAAATAAATAAAGAGAAATCGGAAAAGTCTCCAACCTTTCGAGCCAAATTCCCTGTCCCCGTTCGCTATGTAAAGTGTGGCTCGGTTCTTTGATCTCGAGTAAGACTCATTCCGAGGAGTTATACTGTTTTCAAATGCTTCAAAGCTGTGTCAAAGTTTTGCTGCTTAAGGGTACTTCTTTATTCTGTTGGCTCTTGGGCACCAAGATGACAGGTCTTCTGTATGAGGTGGAGGTTTTTTCAAGTCATAGCCTTCAGCAAAACATCAAATTACCAAATCCAGGGTACCAGACTTCTACACAAATGCCTTCCTGTAGATATATTATACCATATATATTAAATACTTTAGTGTTACACGCTACATTTTATGTGCAATAGAAAGTGATGGTTTGAGGTAGCCTTGGGGGGGCTTTTTTTCCACAAGCAGCAAAAAAAAACCTAGTGTATACCATCTCAAGCCTGGTTTTTACAGGATTTTCTGCCTGAAGGCCTTTGTAAATAAGTAATGATCAACAGATTGGCTGTGGGTTTTTGAAAAGCATGCCTGTGTCAGTTTGCATGATGGGGGAGAATTTTCAAAGTAGATCCTGCTTTCATTGCCTGCCCGAGAGGGACTGAGGGAAGCAGTCATCCTGGACTGGAGCTGTCTGTTCCCTGGTACATCAGAATTGCTAAACAAGGGGCAGGCGGTGAGCCAAAAACTTGCAAATGGCCGAACTCAGCCTACTCAGGTTGGTGCCTTTGGGCTGTGGCTGCAGCTGCGGTGGCCATAGCTACCGTTGCTGGATGATTTGGCCACACCCCGTGGGCATCTCATCTAGTTAGGAAGTCTAAGCACGCCTCCTTTATCGTGACTTTCTGTGTCCCAGGTTCTGTACACAGTCTGTCTCACATCACCCCCCATTGGTGGTGGTGGTGGTGGTAGCTCCTGTGCTGACATGGTGACCCCCCCGCACACAACAGCGCCAACTGCTGCCCAGTCCTGTGACATTCTGCCATCAGCTATAGATCAAACCATTGTGGTCCACTGGATTTCACCGACTTTTAGAAGGAGAGCTCCAGGCTTTTCTCCTAAGTCCATCTTTCTCTGCAGTGCCACCAAAACCTGTTCAGTGCCATAGCAGTATGCAAACCGCTGCCGACAGATGGTGGCCCTTATGTGTGAGCGACATTGGTCTGGAATTGAACCTGTATCTCCAGCATGGAAGCCAATCATTCTCCCACTAAATATCCAATGCTCCACTTTTCATCACTTGCGTTGTATGAATGGAGAACCCATGGGGAAGGTCGCATTGGCAATGAGCTCATCAGTGCCTGTTTTTGCTGGATTCCTCTTGTTTATCGGTGGAAAATAGAGGTGTTCATAAATGCCTTCTGTCTTCCGTAGTCCCCCCACCTCTTCAATCACTCCCTTTCTATTCTACAGATGATAAGGCTCCCAGGTCTAATTTCTTATGCCCCAAACAATCCATAAAAGAAGCTAATGACTTATTTGAGGTGTGCTTTCCCACATGAGGATCTGGCCTGCTATTGGAGCACAATCAATCATGAAGAATATGGGCAGTTTTTAGTGGCCTATGGGCAGTGATAGCAGTGGGCTCCAAGAGAAATCAGAGAGGCCGGAATGGACTAGGATGGGCTCTAATTTACCACTGCGGCTTCTGTAAACAAAGCAGGCTCCTGTGTAAAGGCACCTTCCAAATCGTCTGCCCCATCTATGGAGATGCTGACACTAATGGTCTTTGTTGCCCCTTTGTGCTGGTATCAGGCTTCCCCTGTTTAAATGTCACTTAGCTTTCTGTCCAGTCATTAGGTGAACAGCCTGGTGTTGTGTGTCTGGATCCTGAAGCAGTATGTTTTTTAGTCTCCTGACAGGAAACGACTCTCTCGGCCAGACAGAACCAAATGGCAAGTGTCTAAGCCCCAAGCGTGGACACATGTAGTAATTACCTTTGACAACACATCTTTCGAAGATAGTGGTCATGACTTTATCGGGTCCCTTATCATCTATCTGCCTGTTTCCCTTCCTTGCTGGTCTCAGCGTGGGATTACTGGAGGAGTCCCTTTTAATTTACACTAAACCAGAAGGTACACGGTACCCACTGCTCTCTAACGTGGGGAGTTCTACTTTGTAAGGATAAGCAGGTCATGTCTTCATCCTCCTGTTGCAAGGCCTGGAGGGCAAGAACTTTCCATCTGTCTACCTAATCCAATGGTTCTTAAGGATGGGGATGTAGAGACCACTTTGAATATCAAATGAAATCACTCTAAAAAGTCTCTAACGGTGGGGGGCGTTAGGACACCCCTTTGACTACAGCTGTGGCAGGTTTCCAGAGAAGCCGCAGATTCTAATCACATTTCAAATTCATCCCACAGTCCCCTTTGACTTCTTGCACCGAAATGCTTTGTAGATGTCGAGGGGATTTCTCACTGGGTCGGCGGTTGAAAAGAAATGCCTTGGCTTCTGGGCAGCGTACGCATTTTTGTTTCCTCCTTCTATTCTTTGTCTCAGATTACTTCCTATGAATAAACCATTTAATGAGAGCTTCCTGTATACGCAGGGAGCAGGGGTGGTTCTGTGATAGAATTTGCTTCCTCCATTCCTGGCCAGTGCACCTCATGCTTAGCAACCATAAATCTGCCAGGGAAAGCCTTGAAAGTTGCTATGAGCCAAATAGGATTCATTAGAGTTTATAAATTACAATATACTAGAAATAAAAGCCTGATAATGTCCTTCTTAGAAATTTGCCAACAAACAATTCTTTGGATCACAATGGTGGTCAGATACAGTTGTACCCAGATTGGCTATGTGTTGGGCCTCTGCTGACAACAATGACAAATGTACTCAAGATGTTGTGGAAAGTCTTTGAGAGAGAAAAGGGAAAATGAATTAAATCAAGCCCCTGACTTCAAATTGCTCAGCGGAGACATACAATCACATGCAGAAAAATCGAGCAAAGGAATGACATGGAGATTCGACAAGCTTTGACTATGAGAACAGAGAGAAGGATGCACTCAGGTTTCCGTCTGACATGAGTGGGGAGAGGTTTGATTTCATCTCACTCGAGTCATGAGAGGAATTCTCTACAGATACCCCTGCTAAGTGTCCATCAGTTTCCAGGCATCCTCCCTAAGCTTTATGCCCATTAATTTAATCATAACTACAATTTTCGTACTTTTGCTCCCATTTTACAGATGAGAAAGGTGAGGTACAGAGATGGATAGTCTAGGATAAAGTCTAGTTAAGTCATGTAAACAGGAAAGTTTTAACCCATGTGGTGTAACCCCTGTGGATTGAACTTTCGTGATTCATTATTAGTTATTAACTGCTTCATGATTCTGCCCGTGGAGGAAAAAGGAGATGTACTCATGCCACAACTGGTGGTTTGATGGGGCAAGAACAAGGCGTCTGAGAGTGGCCTAAACAGAGTTCAACACGCGAGAGTATCTTGGCACTTA